CAGGCTGGTCTCGAACTCCTGAGCTCAAACGATCCGCCCGCCTCGGCCTCCCAGAGAGCTAGGATTACAGGCGTGAGCCACCGCGCCCGGCCTGAACGTAAAATTTGAGGTTACTTTGGAACAGTCGTCTGAAACTTTAAAACACAGGCACGAGTTTCAAGAACTCATGTTAAGTCTTCTGAACGGTTCACAGTCCTGTGCATCTTGAAAACTAAACAAAGGAGAAAAGAAATTTATGCCAAAGAAAGTTAACGTTACACATAGTTTTACCATCTGAACATGCCCACTGCTGACAATTCACGAAGCTCCTTCCCAGTCTTCCCCAATCACTCACGTAATTTTTTAATGTGGTGATTTATATACCATTTTATATACTGCTTTATTTTTTTTTTTTTGCTTGACAACACATAGCAAACACCTTTTCATGTCGTTAAATACCCTTCTCAAGTACTGTGATTATTATTCTATTACACACAGGGTCTCTGTCACCCAGGAGGGAGTGCAGTGGCATAATCACAGCTCACCACAACCTCGAACTCAAACTCCTGGATGCACATGATCCTCCTGCCTCAGCCTCCCAAGGAGCTGGGACTACAGACATCACCACCACACTTGGCTGATTTTTTTTTTTTGGTAGAGATGGGGTCTCTCTTTGTTGCCCAAGCTGATCTGGAACTCCTGGCCTCAAGCAATGCCCTGACCTCGGCCTCCCAAAACACTGGGATTATAGGCGTGAGCCTCCACACCCAGACTAAAATATTATTTTAATGGCTGAGTAGTAGCCAACGTCTGGATACACCATTCTTAAGCACTAATAAAATAATTGGTGGTACTTATTAAACACTTTCTGTGTGAGGTATTGAATTCTCCCACCCACCCTACGAGATAGGGACATTGTTCCCATTTTACAGATGAGTAAACTGAGACATGGAGAAGCCAGAGGACAGCGTGAGGCCCTCGGCTGGGAGTGGCAGCGCCTGGACCTGAGCCAGTCCGCTCCACAGCGCGACACGAGCACAGGTAACCTCCAGCTGCTGGGTCCTGGGTTATTTACTGTAAAAAATTTAAAAATACTGTGAACACCGTCGTAGCTACCCTTTGTGCAGATCGATACTTTCCTTGGGGAAATCCCCAGAAAGGAAATGACTTGACCAAAAGCTAAGTACCTTTTTAGCTAAATATGTGCAAATTAAAATTTATATTCAGCTAAAAATCTTTAAATTTGAAAATGTATTTCAAATTGTCTCCCTATAAGGTACAGCAAATATTCCCAGCAATGGTATAATTGATCTTCCAGCTCTAATCACTTTTAAGAACAGTGGAATTATGTTTTTTAAAGTTTGTGAATTTGATTAATGACAAATAGAATATTTTAATTTGCATTCTTTGAATTAGCAAAACCAGAGCAATTTTTTATACACTTAACAGCCATTTATATTTACCCTTTTTTGACATATTTATGTATGTTCTAACTAATTTTTCTATTAAAATGTTTATCTTTTCTTATCGATTTGTAAGAGTTGTTTATTTAGTAAAAACGTTAACTCTACTACATATTATAAATATTTTCTAATTTGTCGTGTGCCCTCTTCCTCATTCCTTCCCTCGTTCCCTGTGTTTGCTCAGACCAGAGATGGGCAGTGACAGACACTTCAGCGAGGTCCAAAGAGGCAGAACTCGCTGTGGTTTGGGGATCGCTGGGGACTTGGGAAGGAGGTGGGACTTCGCCGCGTCTGGCCGGGGCAGGGGTGAGGATTTGGGTGGGGGAGGAGAGAGGAGCAATAAACACAGGGAAGGGAGGGAGCACGCATGCACGGCCGGCCGGGGGCAAGGAGCACTGTCTGGGGGGACGGTGGCTTCCGTGGGAGCCGGGACACGGAGCCACTACAGGGCAGACTGTGCCCCGCCCAGGCCCAGAGCGGGGTACGCGGCCAGGTGTTCACAGCTCGGTCCACACGGCCACAACCAAAGGTGAACGGCGGCCACTGAAGACAGCGGGTGATGGATTATTTTTCTCCGTGCCTATATTTGCTCTTTCTTTGTAATAAAATGTTAATTTTGTAATTAAAAACTTTTTAAAGAAACCGCTTTTGAGACACACTCAAAGACACAGCCCTAAATGCACAAACTCGTGAGAAGCTATTAGGCGTAGCCCGTCGCTAGTTCTTACACACACACTACGCCAACGTGCATTTGCCAGGAAGCAAGGAGCTTCCGCAGTTTGATAAATTAAACGAAGTTTCTCTGTGACTGTTAATAGAGTGCTTCAGGCTAAATGCTGAGACCCTCCGCCCTGCACGGTAATTACGCATTGAAGTGACCACACAGAAGCCTGTGCAGCACCACTAAAATCAAGCCCCTAAGACGATCTAGAACCAACCGTGGCCTTCTTTGAAACCTCCCGTTTAGAGACTATAAATACAGCGCGAACGTCACGCGCCGTAATTAGGTGTCTTTGGCCCTGAAATTACGTGGAAGCCACATTCCCTTCCCTTTCCCAGCCGTCACGGTCGGGGAACCCGACGCATTGCCGGATGTATCTTCGCCCACCCTGCGGACCAGTCGCCCAGGCCCGGGTCCGTGTCCCAGCCCGATGGCGGGGAGGGGACAGGGCTGAAGAGCTCGGCAGCAGATGACAATGACGTAGCGGGAGAGCTCTCCTGTTTATCCACTGGGGCCGGGGGCATCGCGGGGAGCCCGGAGAGCTCGGGGAGCCAGCGCCTTCCCTGCGCCTGGCCCGCGGCACCGCCCCGGCTCCCCAGGAACCTGCGTCCTTTTCAGCGCGACACAAACAAGGAGGGATCTGCGTGTCCCGCCCTTGACTCCCACGACAATCAGAAGCATAAACCTGAGACTTCGGAAACCTCTCAAGGGGCCGAGCTACAGTGGCCAGCTGGAAAGAGGAGGGGAGGAGAGGCGGAGAAACAGGAATACCGGCCGCCTCGCGCCTCCCACCGCCGGGAATGCACCTGCCCCACGCGTGACCACACGTGACCACACGTGACCACACGGAAGGGAAAACAGACACCAAGCGTGCGATAACATCTCACCCTCAGGCTGGTTTACCGACGATTTAGCGTAAAGCACACAAACCCTGCTGGTGTTCAGGAAAGGGACTAATCTCTAATTTCCGTGTATTTTTCTTTAATTTATCTTCATCTAGGAAAAGCAGTGGCATTGGGGCTTTTTAAACAAAAGCTCTTACTGAAACAGCACCACGAACGTGCCTCTTTTAAATAAGCGTTGCCGGAGCTAGAACTACGACAGCACCTACCACGGAGATCACGCAAATGTCACATGGCGTCACCTGGGGAAGGAGAGGGTGACTCTGGCTGGAAATAATGGCACAAAATTGACAAACGTCCTGTCAACACGAGTCTGTTTCACGATTCTTCTATGACAGGCAACGGGGATCGTTTTGCTTATTTCTTGGATTAACAGCACAGGCGATGGGGGACGTTTGCGGGCTAACGTGGGAGGTTCGTGGGCTAAGTGGGGGCGCTCGTGGGCTAGCGTGGGGCTAAGTGGGGGCGTTTGTGGGCTAAGTGGGGGCATTCGTGGGCTAAGTGGGGGCATTCGTGGGCTAACGTGGGAGGTTCGTGGGCTAAGTGGGGGCGTCAGTGGGCTAGCGTGGGGGCGTTCGTGGGCTAAGTGGGGCCATTCGTGGGCTAACGTGGGAGGTTCGTGGGCTAAGTGGGGGCGCTCGTGGGCTAGCGTGGGGGCGTTTGTGGGCTAAGTGCGGCCATTCGTGGGCTAACGTGGGAGGTTCGTGGGCTAGCGTGGGGGCGTTTGTGGGCTAAGTGCGGCCATTCGTGGGCTAACGTGGGAGGTTCGTGGGCTAGCATGGGGACATTCATGGGCTAAGTGGGGGCGTTCGTGGGCTAAGTGGGGCCATTCGTGGGCTAACGTGGGAGGTTCGTGGGCTAGCGTGGGGACATTCGTGGTCTAGCATGGGGACGCAGAACAGCCTCCTCCACTCCGGTCCCACCGCCCACTGCTTGGCACACACCGCTATCCCCTTTTCGCCGCGGGCTACCCGGGGCCCTCTCAGCTCTGCCCCTCCGGGAGAGATGGTTCCAGGCCGAGAAACTGAAGAATGTCGGGACTCAGAGCAGGAAAGCCCAGGTCACTCCCTGACCGGGTCCTGCCGGCCCCTCGCCCGGGCAGCCCTCCCTGCCACCAGCCCACTGTAGGCTCAGCTTCTGGAACGAACCCTGAGCACAGGCGCGAGGGGTTCAGAACTTTAAACCCGGGATCTGGGTGGGGCTCCTTGTCTCCTAGACACTCCCTGTCCGGGGTCCCAGCCCCGTGACGACGCGTGTCCGCACTGCGGCGTGGGGTTTCCACGGCGGCATTTTCAGACACTGTGATTTGCTGCCGCGGGCTGCGTTTATCCAGGGCGGGCTCCCAGCCCTCTGCGCGCCAGACTCGAATGTGAGTGTTGACGCGAGTCCTGCAGGCAAGGGGCAAACCCAGAGTCCAAGGGAGAAGCAGCCGTAGGAGCACACGATTGTGTATAACGTGGCGAAGCGCGGCGTGATGGCCGGCGCCACATGACACACACGGACCCGAGTGACTCAGAACCAGAGCACAGTGGAGAACGCCACCGTCCCACTCGCATTTCAGAAACGCGCTGGAACAGAAGCGGCCGATCCCCAGGGGAGAACCACCCGGAACCACAGAGAAGGAACCGGGGGTGCCGCAGCCGCTCCCTCCTGCCTTTCCTCGCCGTGAGCTCAGTTCCTCCCCCACGAAATTAACACCAGTGGGGACTGCTTGGCGGGTACATGAATGCACCATCCAGCCCCGGACCGTGACGGGCAGTGCCAGGAAATCGTGCTGGACGGGGCTGGGTCCCAGCCTCAAGTGCTTTCACACACCCGTGCGTTCAATCCTCGTCAGCATCCTGTGCGGTGGACACCGCTATCATCTCCCTGTGGCAGATGAGGAAGCTGAAGCACAGAGAGGTTAAGTAACTTTCCAAAGTTCACACAGCAAGTATGGAGGCAGGATTTGCGCCAAGGTGGGGTCTCCACACTTAACCCTCACGCTACTCTGCCGTATTGAGTTTTCGCTTTCTCCTCGGGCAGGGGAGAGCTGCACAGTTTTTTATGCAAAAGAGTGATCATTTGTGTGTGAAGATCCCTCTGGAGGAATCGGAGAAGGTTGGACAGAGTTGGGAGAGGCTGGACACAAAACGGAGCCAGGAGGCTACTGCACCGGTCCCAGCAGGAGGCGAGGGGGCCTCAGTGGAAGGAGGGGCTGAATCTGAAGGCCGGGACTGACCTCAAAGCTGCAGCCCTCCCAGCTCCAACTTCCGCGGCCCGGCTAACCACCCAGGCGCTCCGACATCACTCCTGCGCCCTTCGCCGCGACACAGACATCAGGGCACATTTCCTGGGCTGGAGGACAAGCCCAGGGACACTCCATGTTCCTACCTTTGGGTTTTCGTCCACGATTTTCTTCATATTTTTCAGCAGATGATTGTTCGGGCCACCTTCTTTCTCATTCACGTAAACTATCCTGTCCAGGTCTGGAAAGTTCCGGTTCAGGTCTATTCCCTGGGCATTGCTCCGACCCACAAACCAGTCCTTGAGCTCACCAGGCTAAAAACAAAACCAAAGGGAAAAATCATCAGTCGTTTGTCGTTATCGACACTACCTCGACAATAGTTAACAGCACTCCCTGTGAATGCTTTAAAAATAATGTTCTGAGATTAACGATTTATTTCCACAATATCCTCCCATGATGGCATTCTCAGAACGAGACTGCTACGAGCATGAAGGTGTCAGGTTCCAAGTGCGTCACGCACCACATGGTAACATTTCGGTCAACAACAGACCACACGTGGGACAACGGTCTCGTAAGATCACAATGAGCTGACAGTTCCCTCCTGCCTGGTGGCATCCTGACGTCCCAACCCGTGCAGGCCTTGGCTAGCGTGTGTGCTTGTGTCTTAGCTTTTAACGAAAAAGTTTAAAAAG